TTATGAAAAATATGTTAAGTTATTTACGATAGAAATATATGAACATTGATAATGTTCTAAACTAACATTATCAATGATAAGGTAACTAAAAACAATTAATTAACTAAAAACAATTGATAAGGTAACTAAACTAACAATTTGTAGAAGAAAAAAAAAAAAGAGAAGAAAAATCTTATATTTTGTTTTGTGCTTTTGGAATAGTTTTTTTTAAAATGAAAATTTCCAAATATAATTTTCATTAATAAAAGAAGGAAAGAGTGTTACATGATACGTAGAAAATATAATTTTGTTAATATCATTGAAATTAAATTAATTATTTAGTATATTTAACTGACTTGTAGTCTCTCTTTACTTTCTATTCTCTTATTTCTTCATTCAGTTACGCTTATTTTAAAGTGACCGCTTATTTTAAATTTGAAAAAAACCAAATATTAATTGGATCATGAAATCTTTGTGTAAGTTTTAATGAAGTTGTTTGTACGAATGATAATTATTTTTCTTTTTCTTAAAATATTTTCTCTCTATTCACGATCTTTAAAGATGATCAATGTCATCTAGTCTCAAGATCTTAAAATTGATGGAAAAAAAAAAATGGAATTTTTTTTGTTTTTTTATCTATCGTTCAATGTCTTTAAGAAGAAATTTAAAATTTTATTTAGGAATTTTTGTTTCTTTTACATGTGACAATGATAAATTTGTTTGAATAAGTACTCTGAGAAAGGTAACGATTGTTAACATTTTCAGAATACTATATTCTATTTTGAAATAGTTGTTAAACTCTAGTAGAAGGAAAAAATATTTCCGTTTAAGAAAAAAAACGTCAATTTCTTTCTCCGACATCACATTGTGAGACTTTTTTATTTGTTTTTTGATGAAATGTTTCGAGATTTCCGTACAAATGACCTGTGGATCAAATCGTTCAGTTTAAAAATCTAATTTTGAGATATAGAAAAAAATAGTTTAACATTTCTGTCATGTCGATAGTAAATAAATCTTTTTATAGTATAAAAAACAGCGAACTAACTGCAGGATGATTTGAAAATGTCAGAGTATAAAAGTAACATTTTTTTTTTAAATTCATACTCATATTCTCTGTCAGAGATATATACATCTTCTAAAATTATCCCTTTTTTCTTCTGCAGATAGATGATTACAATCTCTTGACGGATAGATAATAGTCGAATATTGCGTTGTTTTGTCATGAAAGTCAATTCCACTCAGACATAATTTGATAAAATCTGTAAGCTTATTCTTCTACATAAGAACTATCAACGTGTTCGAGATTATACCAGATCATTGAACTCGATTTAAATTTTCATACCTGTTGTCATCATGTATGAAAAAAAATAATTTATGTAGTGAGAAACATGACCTTGTTCTAGAAAAAAAATGAAAAATAAGTTATCTTAATCTAGATATTTTTCTTATTTCGATTTTTGATTTATTTTTTTCTTTAGTAACTACATATTTTTTTTTTTTTGATTATTAATAGTGGCATACACTAATAACATGTTAAACATCATAAAAATCAATTTATTTTAAAATCGCTAATACGAACTGTTGTTATGTAGTAAAAAAAAAGAAAGAAAAAAAGTAGTCAATTTTCTCTAACGGATGAAAATGGGTTTATTCATAACTTTTTCAAAAAAACAACAACAACAACAATAATATCAAACAGATAAACAGCAAGTAGAATAGAATACTGATCTTATGGAATTGTGCAGTACAAATCTATTATTTTTTGTTTTTTCAAAAATGTAACTCCAGGTGGATCGTCTAATTATTAATTCATTTTTTTTTTCTCTTTCTATGTGCGTGTTTACTATTTTTAATTCATATTTTTCATTTTGTCTCTCGTTTTTTAACATTTTTAGAAAATCATGACAATAGTTCTCTTTTACAAAAGTTTGAATGTAATAATAGTTGAAAAAATCGGAGGTCATAAGAAATATATTATTTATAAAAAATTAAATATATTTATCTATATCTATTTTTAATAACTATTATCAAATCTATATGACATTTTTTATAAAAATTAAGGTTATAAATATGTTCAAAGACATTTTTATCTATAAATTCTCAAAATTATACGTTTCTTTGTTGTTGGTGTTTTTTATTTATTTATTTTTTTTTGTTAAATATTATCCGGAAAACATAAAATCGATTATTCATGACATCTTGAAAGAAAAAGAAGAGATAATTTCCTTGGTTTTTTTTTTCTTCTTCACTATCTAATGTCACATCAATGTTTTCATTTTTTTTCTTTTTTGTTTATCCTTAAACGTTGAATGATAATGATACTTATCATCTATTTATTACGTTAGATAGTTACAAACACAATTTTAATATTTTTTTTAAATTTATATTTTTAATGATGTTGTTCTTTTATTTTGGTTTCATTTTTATCGTTAATAATTTTCTATAGTATAATTCCTTTATCCTTCGTATCAATTTGGTATTATACCGAAGATTAGTTCAGATTCTCTACTTATATAAAAGAAAAAAAATTCACTTTTCATCCTTCTCGTATTGTATAATATCAAATCTTAAGAGATCGAATGAAAGGGACATTGACAAAAAGGCGAAAAAAAAAGAAACAGAATGAAAGCAACACTTTATTCTGTTTTTTTTTTATTTTGTTTATTTTTTGTTTTTTTATTAAAAGATAATAATGACGACAAAATATAATTATCGTGGAAAATTTGAAAATATAAGTAAATAGAATTAGAACGTGTTGTACTATGTTTTGACAATAGATGACGAGTCTATTTTTAGTGTTCGTTATTGTATATAGTAATTGAATTGAATTTGACGTTGATCTGACCTTTTTTTCTTTTATTGAAATAGAGATCAGACTAGACAAAATAAAATCATTATAAAAGAGTGCATACAGTTGAGTCGACAACGTGTTGAATGAACGTGTTGCTTTTAAATCATAATCGATCGATATTGTCTTAGATAGCTACGTAGTTCTGCTATCGGAATAAAATTTTGTCACATTTTTTTTCTTCCTACTTTGTATTGTTTACATATATTTTGGAAGAACATCCGTTCAGATCTCTTCAACATCTTACAAATCACTCACTTTAAAAATCAAGATGTTGAAGAGAGATCTAGACGGATGTTCTTTTAAAATATATGTAAAAAGTACAAAGTAGGAAGAAAAAAAATGTGACAAAATTTTACTCCGATAGTAAAACTATGTAGCTAAGTCGTTTAATCACTTCTTTCATTTTAATTATGAGAGTAAAAAAAGATATACAATGATTATGAGTCATAAAAATTTAAAATTCTAACTATTTTGATTATACTTACAAAAAAAGTCAAGACTATTTTTCATTATCGGCCCGATTTGTTTTGTTGTTTTCATATTCAATTATTTCCTAAATATTTTTAATGTGCAGAGTCATTTTAAATGCATTGTTTGTTAAGAATAAGTAATCGCGTGTTTATTAGAGAATATTTTTCTCGTCTTATTTGTGCTGTAAGAAGAGAAGCGCTTATAGTTATTATAGACTAAAACAATCTCCGACTGAATGTGCTTAAAATTGTTGACATTTCCTTTCATTTACGTGTGTGTGTTCAAAGTCAACAGCGAGAGAGAGAGAGAGAGAGAGAGAAACAAAGAAAAAGAGAGAATGTTAAATAATTACATAATTCTAAAATGAATAGAAATTCTGTTGTTGTCATTACGACATTCCTCTGTTGGGCTTTGTTTGAAATAATCCATTAAGAATGTATTTATCTTTGACGTTCACCTTGGACTGCCATAACTGGGTCTCACCCTCATCTCTGTTTCTAATTATGTATACTAGATGAAGCTGGACATGCAGAATATCAGTGAAAAAATTAGAATATACTATTTTTGTAACAATAATAGCTTGATGAGAAAATACATTAAAGATTTCAACTTGTTGTTATTCTTTTTGTCTGTCATTATCATTGACGAGTGTAAATGGCGTGGGTTTCTTTATATACATTGTCAATAACTTCTGAATATAAGATACTTAAATCCTTTTAAAATTCTTAGCAACAAGTATTATAAAAATAATATCTTTCTCGTTGATATTTAATTGTATTAGACGTTCTTTATCTCTTTGTATCCTAGTTTTATGATGAAGATGTTCATCAAGTAAATATCTAACTTTTTCTGAAACATTATATAACAATCATGTCTGTTCATGAAAATAAACATAATTAATAGTCTAATAAATTCCAATTTATTAGTTAGTCTATTGAAGAAAAAAATAAATATATACAAAATATGATAGGCAACAATCGAACATTTTCTCTTTTTTGCTTTTTTCTTCTATTTTCAGATCGTTTTAGATCCTTATTTTTGGATACACTTGAAGTATAGCGCTAAAAAAGAAAGCGAGAAAGAAAACATAGAAATATTGAATAGTAGTTATTTCTTTTCTTTTTTTTCTTTTTTCTTTTCACTCCTTTTTTCTATTCTCCTTGAAACTGAGCGTGATGCATGAGCTCCATAGTTCCGTTTTTCTTATGTTTAAACAACAAAGTCTATTGAGTGCAAACCGTTAAGCATCGTGTTTATATAGTATATTATATGAAAATCATTTAGTTGTAGTAAATAGACATTCTCCTAGTAGTAGTAGTAGTGTATCAGAGGGTAATCAGTTTTTAATGCAAGTAAATCATATGATTGAAAACCAAGGTAAAGCACAAAAATAATCTTAGTTTTATCAAGTATTTTGTATGGCAATTTAATAATTAAAGATTTTTTATCTAAGCAATTGAATAAATTGAACTGAAACGATGAATATATTTTTTATTGTTGAGCGTGATATTAGATATATACTTTTTTTTTACTCGTTTATTCAGCAAACAGATTAAATTTAGAAATGCATTGCCATTAGGCATCATTTTGATAAAATCAACTTGTTTTCAACTATATAAATATATTCATTCTTGAACTCTATTTGGTATTTATCTATTTTAGCTATTTAATTAGACAAACTAATAATGTTTTACTTTGAATGTCGATGACCGGTATATCTCTATTATCCAACGATCATCATCATAGTAAAATAGATGACGCATTATTGTCATCATCGAATCAATCATCTTCAAATAATATCGATAGTGATGATTCAGATAAAGAATCTCGTCAGTTAGGACCATCAGTTCTAACAGCAACAACAGCGACTATTAGAGAAAATAAACAGTTAAATAAAAAAAAAGCATTTTTTAACGATGATAACAATAATCACGATTATGATGATGAGAAAATATCAAATGAAGATTCTTCTCTATTAAATGAATTTCAGAAATCAAATAATATTAATAATAGTGAACATTATCAATCGTTTTTAACCATACCAAATCAAAATAATCATTTACTTAATGTTAGTTCGAGTAATTCGAGTATGGTAATACTTCAACAAGAACAACAATCAATTAATGAAGAAAATCAAACAAGTAAACCGTTTAAAAGAAAAGTGGTATCATTTAGTTCAATGCCATTTGAGAAAAAAGTTGCCGATGGTAAGAATATTTGATGTTTAATATTTTAACCTGGAGTTATGAATGTATTCATGAAGAAATTTCTAATCTGTAGAAACTTTAATTTCCTTTACATCATATATCATTTAAGCATATCATCCGCAAAAAAAAATAATGTTGATTTTGAGTAAAAGGTCTTTTTCGTATTCAACACACTCGGTAACTCAGAAGATTTTCTATTTTTGAATTTAACTTCTGAAGGTTTAGGAAAATTTTTCAAACTAATATTATTTTCCTATGGAAATTATTTTTGCCCCATTCTGTTTCAAAATTTTTCCTAAACTTTTGGAAATATCTCTTGCCAAAAATAGAAAATCTTCTGGGTTATCGAATGTACTGAATATGAAAAAGCACTTTTGATAAACACAATTGCATGTATTTTTCTGTTTTTGAAAAGTTCACCTATTTAACAAATTATCATGGCTATATTCATTTTAGTTGTTAATCGAAACACGCAGTCTGTCTAATATGCACTCATTTTAAATAATTACGGACAACTATACGTGTTTTTATTTTGAATGCAGAAAAGAGATGTCTGACTGTGTAGAACTATTATCAAAAACAGTTTTTTTCTCTTATTTGACGTTTCGTATAATATAAAAGGTTTTTATTAGTCTATTAATAGCGTAAATTTCACGAATTATGTTGAGAATATAGTTTAAATGTTTACATTTTCTTAAGAGTTATTCTGTCCTCTCTGCTTGTTTTCTCTCTCTCTCTCTTCCTAATGAAATATATTTCAGAAATCTCTTCTGTTGTATTTTATTTTCATTTGATGTCAAAATAGCTGTTAGAATTGATAGATATAGATGATTAATTCTCTTTCTTTTTCCTATTCTAACTTCATTCCCGATTCTCGCAGTTTTACTTCGAATAAATTATCGAAAGAAGAATGGAGAGAAAAATAAAAAGAATAATGCGCATTAATTTCCTGTTAAAGAGAACAGAATGATGTTTGACTTAATGAAAGTGTGATTTTTGAATAATGTTGTTGATGAGGTAATGCTGTAAGCATAAACATTTAATTGATGAATCAGTTCTGATATGGCTAATTCCATTAATATAAGCTTTATTCTTTCAGAATAAAAGCGGAAAAAAAAGCCCTGTTATAGTATTCTAAACTAAAACTATCGAAAAACACAAAAATCATTTTTATACAAATAGAGATTCAAGCACTTACTACTAATCCTACTACTATTTCCATTTAAATCATCGCATTTCTGCGCTCAACAATAAGATAAACAAAGATTGTGATCGAATGACCCTAGAATGAAGATAGTATGAGGTACCTTAAGATTACCTTTGAGTTTCTTCATTCTCGCAATGAATGCAAACGTGTTCAGTGAAGATATTCATCTTCACCGAATAATAGAATGAAAAATATTTCTGATACTGTATAATTAATGAAACTCTGTTTGTATTTATACTTGAGTACACAAATGTTATCTTTTAGTTTGCGATTGTTTGCGTTATATGCAAGCCGGTAGTGATCTTCTCAAGGTTCGTTCATATGCAAGACAATTTCGACGTTTTTATAAATTAAGCGAAAATTTAACGACAATTAGTTGGCAACCAACGGCCAAAAAACCATCGAAAGCAATAAGTATGTGATTTCATTACCGCCTTCTTTAAATTATTAGTTTTGCTTTTGTTTTGTCTATTTTTAGTTAATATTGATTCCATAAAAGAAGTACGATCTGGAAAAACGACTGATCGTTTACGGGAATGTGCAAATCAATTTCAAAGTGAATGTTTGTTTTCAATTATTTATACAAATGGTAGTGATGAGTGTGCCGAGCTCGATTTAGTTGCTAGTAATCCAGATGAAGCAAATATTTGGACAACGGGTCTTTCTTGTCTTATTCAACAAGGTCATAACCAATCGTCACCAACGGATGTTCGAACATTAGAAGACCGACAACAAATGAGAGATAGATGGTTGAGAGATGCATTTCAATTAGGTACACCTACTACAATTGAGAACAGTTTATTAGATGAAGATGAATCAATAAAATTATTAATGGATTATGGAATAGCGGAAGATAAAGCAAAAGTTCGATTACAAGTAAAAGATGACAATAAAAGATGATATTATAAATTATAACCATATATTTTTTTCTATAGGAAATTCAACAATCTAAAACCGATAATAATCGTCGTGGTTATTTTTCAACCGAACAATTAGTGCAGATATTTAAAGAACTATCAACAAGACCAGAAATTTATCATTTATTAGTCAGGTAATATACATGTTTAGTGATTCAGAAATTATGTAATAAATAGACATGTTTGTTGTTTAGATATTCTCGAAATCAAGATTTTTTATCATTACAAGATTTAACCTTATTTCTTGAAGCCGAACAAGGTATGGCTAAAGTAACAAAAGAAAAATGTTGGGAGATCATAAGTGAATTTGAACCGTCCACAGAAGCGAAAATATTAGGACATCTTGGTATTGATGGTTTTACGTCGTATTTACTCTCATCTGAGTGTGATATATACGATCCTAATCATCGTACGATATGTCAGGATATGGATCAACCATTAAATCACTATTTTGTTGCTTCATCACATAATACGTAAGCAATACATGAATTCTATTGTTGTTATTTTTCTTATGAGAGTAAATTTTTGTATTATTTTAGATTTTTATTAGCTGATCAATTGAAAGGGCCATCAAGCATTGATGGTTTTATTCATGCACTCATGCGTGGTTGTCGATGTTTAGAAATTCATTGTTATGATGGATTAGATAATAATGAACCGCTGATACATAATGGTACATTAACTTCTAAAATACCATTTGGGGAAACAATTGAAATGATAAATAACTGTGCATTTGAAACTTCCAGGTTAGAATTATTTACACATTGTTTTGTTTATCTGTGAACGCTTATTTTGATTATTTTTAGTTATCCATTAATATTATGTATAGAGAATAATTGTAGTCTTCCACAACAAAATCGTTTAGCTGAATTATTAGTAAATGTATTTGGTGATAAATTATATGTACAAAATGTAAATGAACGGTTACCATCGCCAAATCAATTAAAAGGAAAAGTGTTAATCAAAGTATGTATTATAGAAGTGGTATGAAGGTAGTTTTGATCTTAAAATGATTTCTTCTTGAATAGAGTAAAAAATTGCCATTAGATTCAAATGTCACTGATTATGGAGAAATTACTGATGAAGATGATTGCTACGAAGATCATAAACGGCGGACAAAAAAGGTATATAAGTATTCAACATTCGTTTATCCACTTAACATTCAGTTTATTCTTCTTCTATATGAAGGATAATGCAGTAACACAAAAACGTCGAAAACTATCAAAAGCATTTTCGGATTTAGTAACATTGTTACAATCAGTACCGTTTGAAGATTTCAATTCATCATTTGCTAAACGTATGTGAATCTTTTTATACAGTTCTATCCAATTATATATCACGACGGACTACTAAAAATTGATCCTATAGATTTCATAGTCCTAGGAGAGAGCGAGAGAGATAAAAGCCACTAAACATCCTCATAAAAGTCACGTAGATGGCATGGTTTTATTTGGATCTAACTTCTGAAACCTTACTTCTTGAACTGTTTTGAGCCTATTTTTCTCTTTCGTTTAAACCTCTATTCAGCATTCAAAAGATGAATATGATTTAGACTTAGAATTGAACTTTTTATATGTTAGTTTTCACGTTCATTTTTGTCTTGCTCTCCTAGAACTATGAAAATCTGTAGGATAAGATATCTGTAGCTCGTGGATCATCGGTACCTGAGTAGATATGCTTAAGTGAAAATGCTACGGGTCAAGTCCATTGATTATCTCCTTGGTTTTGTTTAGAACGTTGTGATCAGCTATGTACATTTAGTGAAAATGCAGCATTGCGTTTAGCTACAAGTAATGCTGAAGATTTTGTTAGTTATAATAAGCGCTTTTTATCACGAATACAGCCGGGCACATGGCGAGTAGATTCATCAAATTTAAATCCACAAGATTTCTTTAATGTAGGATGTCAATTCGGTGAGTAAAAATATGATTATAAATATATATATTATACTAGAGATACTTTGAACGGTAAACTTTTAGTTGCCATGAACTATCAGACAGCTGGTAAATTTATGGATGTTTATTTTGGTCGATTTTTGTCAAACGGAAGCTGTGGTTATGTTTTGAAGCCACCTTATTTGAGATATGATAATAATAACTGTAACAATGGGGCTGAAAATATTACACGTTCGTCAAGTTTATATTCATCAAATATACCACGTATTTTGCATATCAAAGTAAGATTTTTGTCCTCTCCTTTTTCTTCTATACAGAATAATATTTTATGTTTAGATAATAAGTGCTCTTCATTTGCCACGTCCCGAACAAGCTGAAATGAAAGTGAACAGTGTTGATCCATATGTTGTTGTACAAATATTCGGTGCGCCTCGAGATTGTGATGAAATAAGAACTAAAACTGTCTATCATAATTGTAAGTTAGTTGATTAAGAATTGAAAATATAAATTGAAAATTAAATTTATTATAGGGGATAATCCACGTTTTGATGAAAGTTTTGAATTTGAAATTGCCTTTCCAGAATTAACACTTGTCCGTTTTGTGGTATTAGATGATGAATCGTTGGATTATGATTTTATTGGACAATATACGTTACCATTTGAATGTATTCAACCAGGTACAATGAAATAGTACTATTACTCATGGTTAACAAAACTTTAAAAATTGACTTTGTTAGAAAAAACTAATATCAGATAATCAGCAGTAATGTATTGCAAGAAGATAAAGGGTGATCCAGAAGTTTCGTTAGCTTAGAAAAAAGTCAAGTTTGGTCTTACAGAGATAACTACAACTATGACATTATATAGTATTAATATTTTACTTAAATACTTGTTTGCTATAGTTTGAACTTTTTTGCACTAACAGTAAGAGAAAATCTGAACTTTTTTCTAAGATATCTAGACTTTTGGATCATTCTTTATCGTTTCAAGCAAGAGAATCAAAAATTTGATATACTCACTGTTCGTTTCTAATGATATTATATCGTTTTTAGGTTATCGTCACGTTCATTTATATACAATTGGTGGCGAATTAATCTCAAATGCATATTTATTTATTCATATAGTTATAAGTAGTAAAACATTAGCTGTGGTAAGAATAGGATAATAATACGACTATTGATCATTTATCTTATTCTTTTTTTGTTCCTATTTCAAAGAAACCTCGTCGTACCGTATCACGATATCGTCGTTCGTTATCAAGACGTAAAACGCGTGTTGCCGCATTTCGACCAGTAAATTATAAACAAATCGATGAATTATTTAAAGTAATTATAATCCGTTATATTATCAATATACATTCATGGTTTATATGTCTATGTTTCTAGTCTATTGTTCAACCATTAGAAGTAGCATTTGAATTACGACATAATGTTGAACAAAGTCTTATTGAACTAAATGTTAGTTGTGGTCTACCAGAAATATCAAATGTCAAACAATGTATTAGAAAAATAGCTAGTCGATTACAAAAAGCAAATTTAATGGAAAATGTCAAAATTTTAAATAAAACTGATGTAAGTTATTATTATTTTGATTTATTTTTGTAGATTCTGTTCTCAGCTCATCTGTTAAGCTGATTTAATTATTAATTCTTGATCAAATGATGTCTATAACAAATTGACAATTATTTGATTCTCAAGTTTTATTTTTTCAGATACCCATCTTGGAATATTCTGGTATATTACCCGAACTATCTCGTCAATCTGTTGCTGCATTGGAAGAAGTATGTATCGGTATAATATATTCTCTTGTTTCATTTTATGTATATGTGATTTTTACTATAGGTAATAGCACGTTGTCGAACATTACTTGAGAATGGCACCGTAATATATAAAAAGGTACGCTATTAGATTTATCATCATCGATACATTCAACTCGATATTTTATATTTTAGTTAACAACCGTTCAAACGGATTTATGTGAATTTAACAAAGATTTACCCAAATTATTAGATCCAAATAATTTGAAAACAAAAAAGATTACTAAAAACATTGATAATTTTTCTTATGATATGGCTTTATTACAAGGACAAGCAGATCTACTGAGTAAAGCGAAAGAAGATGCAAATGTAACAATGCGTCAGGTAAAATTTTCAATCGATCGATTACACTCTGCCTTTTTTTAAATAATTTCAATTTCTGTTCGTATAGATACTGGATGCAGCTGAAGCCACACATTTACTTCAGTATTAAATTTTCAATTTTTATTTTTCTGATTTTCTTGTACAATGAAAAGACAATTCTCACAGTAGGGTCTGATTTGTGAACATCTGCAATTTACATAATATATCTAGATGTATATCTGGATGTTCAGATATTCTGATATTCAGGTTAGATATTCACATGTTATAGAAATGGGGAAAAGGGAAGGTGGGGGCGGTAAGGGAAGATGAGACCGAGACGCTTCCTGATATTCGCCACCGTGAAAGAAAAGAGGAAGATATCTGAATATCTGAACATCTAGATATTATGTAAATTGCAGATGTTCACAAATCAGACCGGTCTCAATTCTCACGATGACACAATGATTTATATACCGGTGTTCTCTTTTTTTTTAATATCTGTAGATATTTTTCATTACGTACGTTGTTTTTGATACTTATATGGCAGAAAATGTTTGTACATATTGTTGCAGCTGTTTTTCAATACTTTTTACTAACTGGTGAATTATTTGTAGTGTATATTTGAATAAAATAATATTTTTATTGTTTTATACGTATAAAAGTATGAAATGAAAGATTCATTTATAAGTATTCGTGTTTGACCTGAACGCCAAATAGGAAATTGTCTAAGAACACAAATGTTTTATTTGAATAATGATTAGAATAGGAACTAGATGCCAACTATGCTGCGCATAGATCGGAAAGTCGACTGAGTGAAACGGTAAACAGACGAAATTAGAAGATTCTGAAACTCACAACAGTCTGACCAAAAAGTTTTAAAAATCTAGCGAAAAGCGAGTTTTACAAAAATTAGGGTTTTCAGGCTGTTTTCATATAGTATAAAAAAATCCACTATTCAATCAAAAAACATCAGAACGACGTCAAAACTTCAGGATATAGTTAATTCTGTCCGCTAAACATGATTAGAAGATGAATAAAATCGACAAAGCATATTATTGTTAATGGATTTTCCCAAAACGCTTTCGGAAAAACTTTTAGAATTTTGTAAAATCTCTTTCTGGATTTCTTATAAATAGGATATAGAAGAGCCTAGATACTCTACATTCTGAGGTTTTGACGTCGTTCTGATGTTTTTTGAGTGAATAGTGGATTTTTTTATACTATATGAAAACAGCCTGAAAACCCTAATTTTTGTAAAACTCGCTTTTCGCTAGATTTTTAAAACTTTTTCTTAAAACAGATTATGCCGCAAGACTCCGCATGATCGATTACTTATAATCCACCAGCTTTCAATGCTAGTAATAGTCACCGGAGGATACCAGCCCTGAGACTGGTAAGGAATCCCATACAACGCCCGAGCCGCGGAAAATCAAGATCTCGCTTGACTCTCGTTTTGAAGAGGAAAACTTGGGTACTAGTCCGTCAAGAATATCAATACAATCGTTTTGGAAAATTCTTACACACGACCTGGTTTTTCTTGTTGACCTACCGGTTTGCTGAGATACTACGGAGTATTTTCGATGTTAGAGTACTCAGTTACATTTTCTTCTCAATAGTCTACATAGCATTTTGTAGCCCGTGAAATTCTCTATCGAATGATATATAACAGTTGAGTTGTTTTGTGAGCAAAAGATGTGAAATAATGAAAATACTATAAGTATAGTTGATCTTGCCAGAGAGAGCTTTTGAGTGCGAAAAATTTGCCTGCGTTTTTTAAGATCTGAAAATATATCAGTTTTAATGCGAGAAACTACATCAGATCCCTGTATAGAATAATTATCTGAGAGGGGGCCAATTATGCCGCTTATGGACCGCCCCCCCTTCATCGTTTCGATGAACCACAACCGATCAAAATTGAAAAACAATTGACAGTTACTATAATGGAAAATTGTGTATGACACTCAAAATATCTAATTACATAGAATAGACAATCGTTTCCCTGCGTTTTTTGCTTATTTTGACTTAACTTTTGTAGAAAAGACATTTTTACACATTTTCCAGTTTTTCTTATGGAAACTAAGCTCAAACGTTTTTAACGTTGATTATTTTGAGATTCCATCTGAGGACGTTGTTGTTAGAACAAATAATATTTTTGTAAAATTCAACATAGCTTTTACACAAACCTTGATATGAAAAATAGCGAGTGAAATACTGAATACAATACTCTCTGAACAATCCTTGTACATCATTTCAACAGGTATAATGGTATATGAACCATAGTTATGTACGATACTATTAAGGAGAAATGGTTTATTTTCAAGCTCGTAAAGTAAAACGTTTATTCATAAAGACAAGAAAATAGGTCGCAATAAAAAATAGAACACTAACAAAAATCATCTATTTTACTTGGTAATAACAGTTTCGAAGCGCGAACTTATAATTAACGCTAACTCACCACATAACATTCTCCCGCACTTAAAAGAATTTTACGATCTCGTAGAACTGTTTTGCGCACATTAATTCTTTGAATGCAAAACAGGCACCGGTCCTTTCGTCTGTAGAATGCCAATACGAAATACACATAGCGCTTAGAAATGAATTCGTTGCAATACTTAATATTGACTAAATCATTCCAGTCTGGTCTAGTTCAATACTTTCATCTAAGGTCTCCCGATCGACCAACATCTCGATCTTCTGTCTAGGTCTCAGACAGCTGGCTCTGCGAAATCTGGATCAAGGTTCATATTCATTACCATGCTTGATCATCAATCTGGGTATCTCGATCTGGAAGCCATTGAGAAAAGAGATGACTAAAGTTCCATTCATCTCTAATGATCTGGCAACATCAAGATGCTTTTCCAATAATGTTGTTCCATTTTTAATTCTTTTCATCGTTTTTCCAAATTTTCAAACGTTAGTTTTTATTTGTTCGTAGTAGCCATTCTAAGCTAATATTTCTGTACGACGGGTTAGGCAAGCTACTCGCTGCTACCAAATGTTACAAATCAATATATAAAAGGATTTTATTTATAAATAGAAAAAGAACAGATCTCGATCAAGAATAGACATGTGCGGTAACGGTAAAAATGTACTTACTTTCACCACTACGCATTTTTGATATGTTATGAATTTTTACTTGTTCTATTAACTTGAAAAGGAGAAAATAATAGTATAAAGGTGAAACTAAATAACTTGATTCCATGTTCTAATTGTGAACATGTTTACATCGGTCAAACAGATCGAAAACGAGATAAACGAATGCAAGAACATAAATCGAACATTAGACGGATGACAGCAAACTCCAAGTTAGTTGAACATGTACAGAAGTATCATCATGAATTCGATTTCTCTAAGGTTGAGACATTAGCCTGGAAACAAGATTGGAAACGCAGAACGATAAAAGAGAGTATTCTAACACAGGAGAAGTTAGGAAAAGCAATAAATGACACAGATCACATATTGCAGGTGTTCGCCTAGCCCCATTGGGGTAGTTTCGCGATCAGAAAAAACTCATCAGTTCGCAGCGAACTGATGAATTTAAAGAAAGAAACGTGCAGCTATGCCATCTACAAGTTCTCCTTGAGTTATTTTTCTTTTTCTTCTTTTTCTGTTCTATCCTTCTTATCTATTCGCTTCTTTTTATACCATCGTTTGTTCGAATGTCTATTGCATTCCTGATGATGCCAACTGAAAGCTGGCGAAAGCTCGAATAAAGTATTTTCAAGACTGAAAGTCATGTTATTCATAGCAGTTCTATATTCGATTTACAAATAATAATATAAAGTTTTTATCAGACACAAGAATCCTTTAAGAATAATTTAAAGAACGTTGACTAATAGGTCGATTTTTTTTCTTTATTTTTGTTTCTGTTACCTGTGCACGTTATAGCAATGTCTGAGCAGTCGGATTCACCACACTCATCTACCGTACTCTAAACAACAAAATGATTCAGCCTAAATACTCTACATTCTGAAGTTTTGACGTCGTTCTGATGTTTTGTGACTGAATAGTGAATTTTTTCAAGACACTGAAATTTGTTTAATCAGTAATTATTTCTTGTTACATTTGCTTGTGCTTAATTTTGTATTAAAGTGCGAGTCTGAGACAGATATCAGTTCAACATTGCCATGCCATTTCGTACCGATGCGTGGCAAGTGACAATAAGTTTTTTTTGTAATGTATACTAGATAGTGCTATCGTAAAATATTACAAAATTATATAAATTAAAAGAGAAACAACAACAAAAAGAATGGTTGCTGTTGGTGAAAATGGTTTCGAATCAGATGAAGATTTTTATGGTCAACAATTAGATACCCCAACTGTTACTGGAAATAATGACATGTCAACTACACAAAATGAGTGAGTAAAGTTTAAAATACAATCTTTCTATCTAGACCTCGGGACTGCATGTACATCTTCCGAGATAAAATTTAGCGATTTAAAACTAAAAAAACGTTATTTTCGTCATACATATTTTGAGAATATTCCTTTTGTTTCATATACGTTCCGCCCATGATAGCTGTATATGTCGATTTCTTTGTATATGTCTTTCCATTGATCTCCCACAAAAAATGATAGAAAATTTTCTTTGACGTTTTTAAAAATATTTCTCGTTGTTGTCTGAGTTACTTTTCTTCGACAAAGTAGCTTTAGTAAAGTTACTTCACTCAAAAGTTTAAACAAGAAGAGTACAAAAGTAAAGTAACTCCTTTGAGCTACTTAAGAAACATAGAGTAATTGAAAAGGTCACGTCTACCAATCTTTATCCAATAACAATAATTGAACTAGTATTGGTTCCGATTTGAAAGCGGACGGCTAAATCGTTGTTTTCTGTTCGTAAAATTAGTTCTCAACTACACGTTCTACTAGCTCTGTTTATTGTTTTAGCAACATCGAAGGAAAAACGGGCTGGCCATATTTTGGTGGTATTGAGGATGGATTAACTGTTGAAAGTGGTAATCCCAGTACAGGCAAGGAAACACGCTAAATTTGCTTTTTTCTATCTACTTTATCCATCATGGTTTTATTCTTAACCCTTTACCCTCTACCGGTCACCAGAGTTACCATTTGTAGGAACGTTCCAGAAAATAAATGAATCATCAATTCCAAAACCTTTCATACGTTATTTGTAGCAAATCCTACAAGTTATCGATTGATAAAAGAAATATTTTTTCTCATGGTTGCATCTCCGAGATATATGACATACAAAACCGATAAGTTTGAAAAAAGCAAAACAGCTGAATTTTGTTTCTAGGATCCTTTTTCTATATACATGGACGATACTTTTTTTGTGACGTGCATTATAATATATATCGGCTAAAATGTCTGCTAGTCAATTAAATGACTTTCAAAATTTCCACAAGAAATAGGCAGAGAGGAGATCGTAAAATAGCATGGTCACTGAAGTGACCATTGAGGGGAGGGGGGAGAAAAAAAAAAGTTTACTTTTTTAGAAAAAGTAAACTTTACCTTGAGTTTTACTTCTTTCTGCTTATATCATTCAAATAAAGAACACAAATTGCATGTTCGTGAAACTACTAGGGTGTTTGCAAGAGAAAAAAATTGGATTTTACAAGTTGTCCTCTCCCACCCCCAATGGTCGCTGGAGTGACCAAACTACTATGCACAAAGTCAAATGCACCTGCCCGATTTGACCATACTATTAGCATGTGAGTAGGCCAGTGCGCTGTTCTAGTGGTTGTTTTATTAGTAGCTCTTTTGGAACTGCTAAGGATTAAGATCTTTATGATTTGTCATCAGATTAAAATTTGCTTGAAATTTATCTAGCAAACTGCTCCATACCCATAGATTCTGCTGAACCATTATTTCATGGAATATGTGATCGATTTATACAACGATTTGGTAAACTTCTCAAAAGAGCTGGAGTAGACATTATACCAGGTCAGACATCCTCCGCTGTAATATCTCGCGCTGCCCATAAGATTCAATAAATTTTTATTTACTTATGACAGATCGGAGGATACAGTCATTACAAAATATACTAAACGATCCTTTGCCAGTAAACATAACATCTGAGGACGCGACTTATGAATTAACGAAATTATTGGAATGTTTGTCAATAACAAATCAAGATCATAGAAATGGTACATAATATTTATTCAAGAATCATGTTTAAATTCAAAAAATGCTTTTTTGTCTTTTAGAAGCTATGGAAAGGCAAAGTTCAGACGATCCAAAAAGAACTGATTGTATGTATTTTATCCTTCATCGATTTTTATTATCTCCAGTATTTATGGAATTTTTTTTCTCTTTTAAACAATGTGATAGATCTAGAAGATAATGATATAGATCGTGCTTACATAGATAATGATGTTTCGCCAGCAAAAAGACAACGGGGAGACCCTATACCAGTTATCAATGATCTTCCGTTATTACTATCAAGTCCCGAGATTAAAGACCACCCAAAACGATTTATACATAGTCGTAATATAACAGAATTGAAAAATGGCGATGTTGCTTGCATACAATCAACAAAGAAAGGTCAGCGTAATTATCCATCAACAGAAGTAAGTACCGATATTTAATCTATCTTTGAACTTCTATTTCTTCTGTTTATCTTTTTTTTGATAACAGATCAGACAAGAATGGCGTCCTGAAGAACATGAAAAAACGCGGTATATGCAGGTGAGCTTAATGCAATGGGATGGAAAAGAGATACACCAGTCATTAGCAATCGTACCAAATGATGCAGTAGTGAATGAATCAGATCAGATTGTAACGGAACGTTGTTCAACCAAATGGGATGAAAAAATCAATTCATTATATTATGAAATTAACGACAACGATTACGAAAATGGGAGAAAAGAGTAAGTTCACTTACAGAACAAAGGAATGAGTGAGAAAATTATAAACACCGCGTAAAATAGAAAAAAAATAGTCTTCCGTCAAAGAAATGAAGGACAGCCGAGTGACTTGGATCTTCGAGTTGGGAAATGTTGACGAGACCGATTTTCGTTCAGTGTTGGCGAGGGAGACGAGCTCTTGTGAGTGTGCTTTGCTTCATAATATGCTTCGTGTATGATATTGACGTGTGTTGTTGTCCATGCACGAATACGGGTCGTTCACTGTGATGTTGGATTGGCAGTGAGGCGGCTAGTGCACCAATTGTTAGGCTCTGCCTAACTTGTTCGAATCTTCACTTGTATGTACAAATGGTTTATTCAAAAGCACCTTCTCTAGTGTGACTCAACAAGAACTGAGTCAACATTCCTTGTAGTCAAGAGAAATGAAAACAAAAGCAGAAAGAGAAAGGAATGCCAGTGGCGGCAGTGACAACTGACATAACAACAGAGATAAGGATTGATCTTCGAAAAATGATTTTAGGATCCGTTGTCAACAAAAAAAGGAGACATTCTGTACTCTGAATTGAACTGTTGATCTGTTCGTCTTCTTTTTTCCTGTTAAAATCTTTTTAAGAAGATAACAGATTTTTTTTCATATTTTGTAGATATCTAATGAAACTAGTTAGACTGTCATCTAAAGTGAAAGCAAAAGGAAAAACAAAAAGGAAAATATCGAAAGAAATGGTAACGAAAGTAACTCCAAATAACAATAATGATAATGAAAAACAGAAATTGTATAAACTGCGTTTTACTGTATGTACGTTGAATCCCTGTAGGCCATTAACAAAACCAACATTTTCAACAATAATACAAGAACGTATGTATCAAAGAACATTAGATTCTCTTTATACGTATAGGAATGAATTGTACTTGTATTATACGGCTCCATACGCAAAGCTTGCATATCTCGGCTTCTACTGAACGAAATATGAAAATTGTTTTCTTCATTTACTTCTCAGTGATATTCTACTTTCACAATAAAATCGTTCTTTGTCTATTTTGGTTCTAGAGTGATAGTCCTAACAACATGAAAAATCGACTTTTTTCTTCACAATATTTTGAATTTAAATCACATCTGGTATAGTCGTTTTATTTCTAATAGTTTGTCCTTTCTGCTATCAGAGGAGAGATTTTTTGGTTTCTCTTGCCATCCACACGATACAAAGTGAAAACCGCTTTCTATCCAAAACTTCATTTTATGTGGGAGCACCTAAATTCTCTCACAACTCGGTCGGCTTATAGTGATTTTGATTTTGACTATAGACGATGTAAAGCCAAGAAACAGTCACAACTTTTGGCAAAAAAAAGATTTTTTATCTAACCACATACTCAAATAGAAAATTTTGAAAAAATTTTCAAACTAAATATAGGACGAGATTTTGTTTTTCCATTTCTCTGGTAGTACAAACAAAACCACTGCGTTGTTTTCCATTCTTTTTTCAACTATGTTGAGGAACATCTAGAAAAATAATTAGCTTTAGGGAAATGCTGTTTGTGAGAAAACTCTATTTTTCGTAAAAATGTAGGGTCTATTCTAACGACTTGAAATGTGGAGTCACATTGTTAGCGGTAGGCACTTCGTTTGAGCTATCTGCCAAGTCTCTGCGACATTTACGACGGAAGAGGTAGTAAAAACATAAAGTCGTTGTTTTCAGGCAAAGACCGAAGAGATCGACGTGTTTTACAGTAAATCTTCATATCACATTGCGGTAATTCCCAGTCAAAAAAAAATATCAAGAGGAGATGATGGAGCACTCTTTTTGGAAACAAAAGAAAGGAGTACTGTTTTTCCCAAAAAGAGTGCTCTGCAGTGTCTTGGCTGCACTTTATAAAAAGGATTGCTCCGAAGCGCTCTTTTTTTAAGGAGTATTCTGGACTACTCTAAAAAAGAGTACTCTAGAGTGCTCTTAGTAGCTTTTTTCAAAAGGAGTGCTTCGAAAACGGAGTACACCTTCATACTCCTACTTCTAACCTTTTTTTTGACTGGGTCAGGAAAATATTATATTTATATGTAATCGACATAGCTCTCTTAAAGGTGCGACTCAGCTTTTTCCCTTTCCTCCTTATTTTTTTTAATATTTTTCGTCTCTCGTACAATAGCAGTGCAATTCATTCATATAACGAAGTTATGTCGCGCTTTTATATTTTAAGTTCAAGTCTGAACTTAAAATTGACAATTCTGATAAGATCATGATAGAATCTTTTCTTTTTTTAATTAGAAAACGTTATAATACAATTTTATAGATTTGTACCATCTGCATTACGCTTAGACGGGAATGAAACAATTGATGTGGTATTTAGTAGAGGTGATTTAACACATGGTAGGTCTCTACACTCAACACCGTAAAGCGAACTAACTCAAACTATCAATGAGCTTTATTTTAGGAATACGAATATTTGTTAACGGTGAACGACTTGATGATAATAAAATACGTAAACAAGGATCTACATTTATTATTCCATCAGTTGCACAACAAAAGCATGGTCAAGAAGATCTACTTATTAAAGTAGAAAAATACGATGTTTATCAATCAGTTATGAATACCAAAGATGAGTATGCAGTATTAATCGAAGGCCGAATACGATACGAACAACCTCAGTCTCAAAGTAAGGGAGCGTGTCAAAATGTATTCCGGTCGGTCGGTCGCTATTCCGCTCTTCCTCTATTCCGCTCTTCCTCTATTCCTGTATTCCTCTATTCCTCGACTATTCCTCTATTCCTGTATTCCGCTATTCCGCTATTCCTGTAGTCCGCACACAACATTTCGTTTTATAAGAACATTTATATAGATGTATATATGAACTTCGTTTTCTTTTCTAATTTAATCTGATTAAATTAATTTGATTATTTCTTCAG